AAACATAGTTATGAGATGCTCATAAGTTTAGGTTTTTTCCTTTACAATATAATTTTATTTTTATTCATTAGATTAAAGAAAAGGTTATCTGCCTAAGAAAAGTGGGCTTTTGTGGAAGACATTCGAAAAAATTGGCTTATATACCCTTTACATATGTGAGAGAAAACAAAAAAAAATTCATGTAGTCAATCCGTTCATCGAAATTTGAATCGGGTTGAATTATCAGTGTTAAAGAAATTTTATCTGCTTGGTCACTAGTTATCATTTAGAACATAACAAATCAAAATTACACTGAAGTAAACAGTAGTGGCATATATGCCATTTAGAAATAACGTTAAATTAATTTTCATCACCTAAAATGTTTGTGTTCATTACACTACCTTTACATGCACATTAAAAACTGGAATAAATTGAAAAACAACTATGAAAAGAATAAAACAATGTAAATTTCCTTTATATTTAGCCATTATTTAAAACTGAATTCGAAAAAATGATAACTATCAACTGAAAGAGCTAGTACCGTAATTTTGCACGTATAGTCCGCAGACACGATTTTATATAAAAAAAATTTCAAAAATCATCAGATAGTCCGCGGACTATACGTCTGAAATTACGTTTTTTTAATATGGCAATATTCCCCATGCTTTTTAAACGCATCCTTTTGTTTGCGCCAATTTCTCACCGCTTTCTCGTCCACTTCAAAATAATGGGGTAAAATCCTAATATACGGTGCAGCCTTGGCGCGACTTTGAAAATTATTGCCAAAACCAAAAATGATCCAAAGAACGTCTATATATATAGTATACACACATAGTATATGTATATACACACATAGTATATATACTATATACATAGTATATACTATGTTTAACTATATATTTTCTTTGAATGACCTGTTAACTACTCATCATATATGTCCCGTTTTCACTGCTCATCATAAAGTCGCCAAATCCCGTGTGCACCGAATACTAGGATTAGACCAATAATGGCCCACTTCTCTATTTCCATCTTTTTCAGCTTTCTCAACTACCTTGAGTTTAACTCAGCAGTCAAACTCCGGCGATGTTTCATCAACGTTATCAAAGATGAAAGACAAAATACAAAAACAAAATACTGTGCAACGTGCTATACTCGTGATAAGTGGTAATGAAATGTGACCTTCGACCCCACTCACTCGGTGTTGCCAAACCACGCTATAAGGTAAACGAAATCACGCTTTTTTTTTTTTTTCCGCATACTCCAGGTACTTGCTACTAAGGCTTCCTAAAAATCGAGTTGACGCATCAACTACTTTTCCCCCTCCTGGCAGTCAGTTGCGCTTAAAGCAGTTGCGAAGGATACTGGGATACAAGACTCTGGTTGCGCTACTGAGTGCTCATACAAGACTTCTTGGCTCATATCCCGCATCACTTGATGCGCCAGCCTGGATTTTAGGGAGCTCTACTTGCTACTGCTCATTCGTTCTGCACTATGCTCTATGGTTTACTATCGATGCGATACATACGAATGTTTTCTTGGAATCTCGCGCTTTTTTTATATTTGATCATCGGCAGTTCACAACAGCATGTTTTTTAAATTTCAACGATTTTAACCGTGAACAACCAGCGTATTATCTGCACTGGTAGATAGTCCGCAGCTTCAAAAATTCGCATTTTAAACACAGATAGTCCACGGACTATACGCGCGAAATTACGGTAATAGTACTTGAAACAGAAAAGAAACTGAAGAAAGATCTTATAATGCAAATGTGCGAGAATCGAAGTAACAAATTATTCTATTTGTTTGCTCCTCCTCTCAACAAAATATTTCCTGGAAGATTACAAATTCACAAACGAACCTTGTGGGTTCAAAACACAGATAACTTCCCCTACCCATTAGACAAATCTCACAAAAGAATGCACTCTCCTGGTTGTTGTAAAATAGTTTTCAAGCCTCATGTCCTAGAATTTCTACCCCTGCAACCAGTAAGAAATTGTCCTAGACCCCTAGTTGCTGTACACTTAGCTCAGGATGTACGTAGCGTATTTGGAAACTAAGTACCGTTTCATTCTAGCGCCGTCGCAGTGCTGTGTAGGCATCCCGCGCATGCATACTAGTCTTTCTTGTTCACTGACTTTCAATTGTCGCCATTTTGGTTGCTCTATGTTGTGTTTTCAATTTGCTGTGCACATTCAAAATGTTTAAGACAATTAGTTCTCCCGCTGACTGTGAGATTCGTGCCGTGATTAAATTTTTGAACGCGAGGAATGTTAAACCGGCCGAAATTTATTGTCAAGTGACAGAAGTTTACAGTGAATACGCGATAAGTGATGGAATGGTGAGAAAGTGGGTAAGAATGTTAAATGCAGGTCGAACAAATGTCCACGCTGAGGCTCGGAGTGGTCGGCTTTCTGTTGTCACCGATGATTTGGTAAGGAAAGTTGATGAAGCAATTCATGAGAACAGACACTTCACAATGACAACTCTTTCAGAGGCATTTCCAGAAATTTCACGTACTGTTTTGTTTGAAATTGTGTCTTGAAGCGTGAGCTTGGTGGCAAGCGCTTTGGATCTGACGATGACACGAAAAATGCTGTGGAGTCGTGGTTATCAAAACTGGCGGGAAGTTTCTTTGACGATGGTATAAAAAAACTGGTCACCCGCCATGACAAGTGTTTGATCATTGGTGGAAACTATGTTGAAAAATAGGTTAAGACATGTATTTTCATGTAAAAATAAAATTGGATTCGAAAAAATTGTTTTACTTTTTTTTTTTTTTTTTTTTTCAAAACGGTACTTAGTTTCCGAATACGCCTCGTATATGCCCCAGCCCTTGCGAAAAGGTTAAGTTGAAAACTTCATTTTGAGCAGCTTACAGAACGTGTTTCAAATAGACTTAAGCGTTCTTAAGCATTTAGTAGGATGTATCTGGGGGTGTGCATGGTCCAGTCTTAAAATAACAATTAATACTTAGACGCTGTTTTTAATGGTGTATTGTTGTGAAGCCCTCATCTCTGCCCTATAAATTTAATAAACTTGAATTGATGCAAAACCAACCAAATTCTTCAATTGATTACAAAAGCTGTGGAGCACACGTATCCATGCAATGTTATTGTTGACAGAAAATATACCCTTCGGGGATATTATGAAAATGAGGGCCTTGGTTATCTGTGAAAAGTTACTGCAGATGGAGGATTTCTACTGGAGAGACTACATCAAACCTAAAAAATTAAAACCCAATATGGATTTATTCAAAAAGTCCGGGACATTAAGAAAGATCTTGAGATTCCAGGTAATATACAACCACTCTTTGACAACCTGAAGCCCCTTAGAGGTGATTAATGTCAAAGTAAGGCTATACCTAGTGAAAACCATCCATAAGAAGAGAGATGTTGTACCAAGTGTTTTGAAATGTCTCACTTGGGACACCATTGCGGCTAGATATCCACCTACTCAGTGGCTGCACATTCCTACTAATGATTCTCAGTTTGACTATCATTTTAAAGTTGAGGTTGGTGTGTTTTCGAATCTTTTTCTTTTTATGCTCTTGCAGGATACATTGGTACCTCATTTGATGGTGAAGTAGTAACCTTATGTATACCCCTAATGCAATTAGCTGTCCATAACATGTTTGCAAAGGCAGTCAATTTTTCTGATTCTAACACAGCCATTCTATCAGTTAGCTCTGTTGAACACCCATTAATATCTGAAATTTTGCAATGTCAAGATTTCCTGGGAATTCTCACTTTAAAGGTCAAACAAATCATTCCTCAGTGGGTGCCTGGCCATTGTGGCCTTTGGGGCAATGAAGGAGTTGACTTCCTTGCAAAAAGATGTGCCAGCTTACTACAACATCTTAACACAGCCATTCCTTATTGGAAGTTTAAAGTGTTTTTAAAAAATTTATGTCTAATATCTTAATGAGATCTTCGGACTCATACAGCTTTAAAAAGTTGGAGAATGATAAGTCCTTTTTTTATTCCTGATAGTCCAAGACACAATGCAGTTGCGGCTTTCCGTGTGTCTAGAGGACATGACTGTCTTGACACCAACCTGCACCGCATAGGTATTTCACGTGATCCTATTTGACAACTGTGCTTCTGAAGAAGAAATGGACAGAGACCACCGATAGTGGGAGGCAAGAACGCTCCTTAAGCAATGACTTTGGTCTTCTTCTTCTTCTTCTTTTTTTTTTTTTTCCCTTAGTTCTATTTTTTGTAACTACTGTTTATAAGATTTTAGTTCTTTGCAACTTTTTGCCTAGCCATTGGAATTTTTTTAAACTGCTTTTTAGTTGATGGGAAGTACCCTCCTTATCATGTCATTAATTAGCTTTATAATCAAATTTTTTGAAATTCTCATAAAAATTCAGAATTCGTCTAAGCTGTTATTTAATATTACATGGAAACAGAAAAGAAAATTTTATAATTATATGAAAGTTGTACAATTTTTCTTCCTCTATTTTTTTTCGGGAGGGGGATATATAAAGAATAAAGAAGTATAAAAAACAAAAGTTATATAAAGAAGTTTTTTAAACATGCAGTCATATCATTAATTACATTTTTTTGTAAAGCTAAAATTAATACACTGAGCTTTTTCTTGTAATCAGTACATCTAAAAAAAAATCCTTGTATTAAAGAAACAAATTATATTTATCTTCTTATCCAGTTATTTTGAGTTTCATATAAAGTTTTCATAATCAGGATGTTATAATATTGAAGTTTTTGTATTGACTACATAAGCTAGATACTTTGAAGTTAAAATGTTTCTTCTTGTATATTTTGAGGCTATTTAATAACTAAATGACAGTAGGCAGTAACATACAACTTACTTTAGATAAGAAGTTTTCTGTATGATACATTATAATTTTGCATTAAAAATTATATAATATGAATTAATTTACAATTTTTTGCTAACTTATAGAAAGAAATATTTTGTGCATAAAACACTGAATAAGATAATTTATATGTATAAAATTGGCATTTATAAGTTACTGAGGAATTAACTGACTTTAATTTCAGGAGACATTGCTTTTCGTTTTTTGAAAGCAAGCATAGATCATAAACATAATCACAATCTCACCCATTTATTTGATGAACTTAATTCTGAAACAGAAATGGAAAACAGAAGTCATGTTACTGTTTTGGACTTCAACGATAAAATGTTATCCATATGTAAAAACAGAGCAAAAGAATTGGGACTGCATAATTGTAAGTATAACATATACCACATATAATTTACCTTATTGTGAAAAACTAACTAATAGTGAACAATTCTGAAATTACATGTTTAGAATTATTACTTAATAAATTAAGTTCTGAAGGTATTTGAATATCTGCTAGTGATATTTGTTTAATTACATATTTCTCAAAATTTCATATTTGTGTTCATGGGTTAAAAGAAGCAACTACAAATTTCATTTATCAAAATCTCAGTACTTGTATCAATCACATTGTTTCAAACAGTGTCAACTTTTGTAATCCCCTTCCCAAATAAAGTAGCAGAACAGAAGTCACTTTCTTAGCGTCTGGAATTCTGTGCCATTAGATTTTTACATTCTGAAAGCTAATATAATCTTTTTATATTTAAATAAATGTAAAAATAAGGTAGTGCTTTTAAGCGAGATTTGTAACTAGCATTCATAAATTTCCTTTAGATTTTAAAAAAATGCATTTTTCACATCAAATCCGTTATCTTGTTAATACTGGGCATTGAGAGCATACTATGCATGTGACATAAAAACAGATTATATAATATTGTAGATTAATTACAGATAATTATACTAATAATTCTATTTCTTTAGTGACAAAAACAAATTTTGGAAACCTAGTAAGAAAACTCTCAAATTTTTAAAATTAAAAATTTTTCCATGGAGTGCAACTGACATTTTTTCGACGTACTGTTTCCACTCTTACCAGCTACCAAAATACCAGAGTATTAGTGTACACTGCTGGCCACCGTAAATGCAACACCCTGAGGGAAGCATGCAAATAACATGAAATTTACAACATAGATTAGTGGAGGTGAGGTATGCAAATGATTAGAATTTCAGTGCAGATGCACATCATGCGCGCCTGTGGCGCCTCTTCAAAGCGCTATTTAAGGCTTGGAGTTTTCGATGATTTCAAGTTCGGCAATTGTGTTTTTCTTGTGATTTTTTTTTTTTTTTTTTAAATGATCAATTATGCCTTGTAGTAAACAGCGATCATCGTTTGATCAAGTATCCGAGTTCGACAGAGGAAGGATAGTGGCCTACCGAGAGTGTGGATTATCTTTCAGGGAAATCGGTAGGCGTGTTGGAAGAAACCAAACAACTGTAATGCGGATATGTGACCGTTGGATGCAGGAGGGTACGACAGACTGACGTGTTCGATCGCATCCACCTCAGTGCACCACTTCACATAATGACAGGAACATTGTGTGCATGGCAGTGACAGATTGCTCAGTCACATCACAAACCATTGCACAGCACATTCAGTCTGTAACGCATTATCCAGTGTCTGCACGTACCATTCAACGCCATTTACAGCAGAGTGGTCTGTCCACAAGACGTCCATTGCTTTGTGTACCCTTTATGCAGAACCACAGACGTCTCCGCCGCCAATGATACAATGAAAGAAGGATGTGGACGGCAGAATAGAATGAAATTGTCTTTACAGACGAGTCACGCTTCTATTTGCAACACCACGATTGTCGGATTCGAGTCTGGAGACTCCGTGGAGAGAGGATGCTGAACAGCTATGTTATGCGCTGCCACACTGGTCCTGCACCGGGTATTATAGTATGGGGCGGTATTGGATATCATTCTCGCACTCCTCTAGTACACATTGCTGGTAAACAGACAGCGCAACATCTCCGAGGTGTTGGAGCCAGTTGTCCTTCCTTACCTTCAGAGCTTGCCCACTGCCATATTTCAACAGGATAATGCGCGACCACACGTGGCACGCATTGTCCAAGGGTTCTTCGTCAATCGCCAAATTGAATTGCTTCCCTGGCCAGCTCGCTCTTTTGCCTATAGAAAACGTGGTCCATGGTTGCTGAACGATTGACCCAGATTATATCCCAAGCTGCCACACCAGATCAACTTTGGCAACGTGTGGAAGCTGCTTGGTCTGCTGTACCCCAAGAACACATCCAAAGTCTCTTTGAATCAATGCCGAGGCGTGTGGCAGTTGGTGATCTCCAACAATGGCGGCTACTCTGGCTGCCACACCAAATGATTCTGGAAGGAACCACACTTCACAGAAGTCTATAAATTTAATCATTTGATAATCATTTGATCTTGGTCAACATGTTATCTACTAAATAAATTTTGTTGTGATATCTCATGTCTTTCTTGGTGTTGCAATTTGGGTGGCCAGCAGTGTATAATCTCCTGTTCTACTGGGTCAATTGACGAAATTCAACTTGTGTTTTTCATGTCTCGAAAACTCGACTTAGGATATGTATTAGATTTATATACATATCCATAACATATAGTATATATAAGTATACATAATATATAGTATTGTTTCAATATAAGTATTTTGACACAAAATTAGACTTTTTCTGAAATGACATGCCAATTTTTTTTTCCATATTTCAATTCTACGTTTAAAATTATGCCAAAGTGCCAAGTTTTGTAAAAATTGCATAAGTAGTTTTTTAAAAAAAAAGCTCTTAAAATTTTAGTTCCTCAGTGTTAATTGAATTTGATATATATTTATTAATATCACTTTTTATGAAACTTACTTGATTTCTTCTTCCAGAATTCAAAATTTAGGCTTAATCCGAACATGATTCGCACATTTTTTATTATTTATTTTAAATATTTTTTATAAATATCTCGAAAAAATTTTTGCATTTATAACCTATAAAATTTTTAACATAATCTTAAAGTAGATGTATCTTTAAGCATATCTGCAAGAGATCAAGAGTTTTTTTATATAAAATTTCCTAAGATATACATGAATTTACATTTTGGCACGTTTCAAAATTTGGCATATTTAACTCTTTCGCATCGAGAGAGGGCAAAATCTCTTTTCTCCAAACATCGAAAACCCCCTTGTCTAGGAATTTCTTCTGGAATGCTTTTCCTTCACCCATTCAAACTGATTACTATAACGCTAACAATAACCTGCACTGTGTGAAGTTCCCCATTGGGGCAGGATTGCAACTTCAGTCTTCAAAAGCTAAACAGTGATAGTAAACAAAGGAAAAAGGAACGTGCATTAAAATAATAGAACTAACTACTTTTAGTAGCTTCAAAAGAATGATTGACATGTCATTTAACAACACCTGAAAGGAGTAATGCAGTAAACGTGATGGGGGAAAAGCACTAGGTAGGAAATTATTCAGGCATTTCCTGGGCGTTGAGCTGATGTTTGAATGCTCGGGCATTTGGGGCGACTTTGATGCGAAACAGTTAATATAAACAATAATAACAAAAATGTGGTTTAAGCACTTTGTTAAAATTATTTTAAAGAATGAACGATTGACCATTTTTCCTCCCGTGCATCAATGAAAAAAAATGTGCATAAGTAGCTAACTATAAATTAAAAATTCTGTCAAGTGGCCAAGTTACGAATTCTTGGCGCAAACTGAAAAAAATTCTCAAAGATAAATTTTTTTTATTTCTCACCAAAAGTTACAAAATGTAATATCTAGGCATAATTTGAGTCGTAGAATCGAAATATGGAAAAAAATTTATATGTTATTTCAGAAAAGTCCGATTTTGTGTCAAAATGCCTATGTTAGAATAATGCTATATATATATATATATAAATTTAATATACAGTGGCTCTCAAAAGTGTTCGTACACTTATGACTTTCATTGAAATAGGGCTCTATTCATTAATTAAAAGTAAACTTTCTGAATGAGATTTTAATAATAAGATCTATAATCTATTCATAACAAAATTACATGAAATATTTTTTAAATACAGTGAAATTGTATTTTTAAGAAATTAATAATAAAAAAATGATAAACATTTTATCTCACAAAAGTCTTTGTACACTGAAATATTTTTGGATAAAATTAAAATTATCATTAGCCACTTTTTTAATTTTTGCATTGTGGTGGCATTTAAAAAATCATTTGGTTCAATTTTTTATTGTTTACTTTACAATATTCTATTTATTAATGAAAAATGGGTCGCAGTCGTAAAGAAATTACAAAGAGCATTCAAAAATTGATAACTTTTCACCATGGTAGTGGTAAATTAATTCGAAATATCGCTAAATTAGTTGATTTATCCCATTCTACAGTGCAGTATGTGTTTAAAACGCTTTAAAGAAGAAAATTGGATTGAAAACAAGGTAAGAAAAGATCAATCAAGAAAGTTAACTAAACGCGATGAGAGATTTTTTATTAGAAAATTTGTGAAAAACCCACGTTTGAGTGCTGTAAAAGTTTCTGCAGAATTTAATGCAAAGTTTTCTACTTCAATTTCACCTTAAACTGTTCGACGAGTTCTCAGAGAAGCTGGATTACATGGGCGTTCTGCCCGTAAAAAAAATTTTGTTAGTGAGAAAAACAGAAAGCTTCGGCTTTTATTCGCAAAATCAATGATAAATACACCCGAAACGGGCTAAAGTGCAGAATCGCCCACCTCTTTCTTTGGCGTTTGTTTGGCACTTTTTACAAGAGTAAGAAGGATTGAATTTTTGTCAATTTTCTTTGACTTTTCAAGTGAAAATATGTCGATGTGTACATTGATAGAGTCAAGGGAGTGTGCAATGCCATTTTTGTGCAATTCTGGGATTTTTTTTAAGTGAAAATAGGTCAATGTGCACATGGATACCGATTTAGTGCAATTCTTAAAAACACGCCAAGCAGTGGGTTTTTTGAGGACAGTGTACCTTTTATTTAATCCGTGTGTTTAGAACAACATAAATACAACTTCGTAAGATTCATTAAAATTTCAAAATCCAGAATCTCTTACTGTTCTGATTTAATTGTTGTGCTAGTCAATTAAAATACTTAAAAAAATATATATGTATATAATGCTTTTAATTAATTTTGGAAATATAAAATCAAACTTCTAGCTAGTAATTAATAATTGAAATGAGTCTGCATTTATTGCTTTTAAATTGTTTAGTTTGTTAATAACAAAACAAATTAGAAAGTAAAATACCTTTCACTTTCCCAAACAACATGCTGCTACATAGAAGATAAAGATATTTTTATTTGAGCAGTGGCCTTTTCCTTCTAAATTGCTGAGTTTGTTGA